CAAGTCAAGCACGCTTAACTGTGAAGTTCTTATGAGATAAGCTACCGAAAAGCAAATGCATGTTGTTAGTATAAGTAGTACAAATTAATTCATTTAAGTCATCCTCAACTATCCAATCTCATACTTATATTATTTTTGGATCCTTATCATTTTGGTATATACGGACCGTTATAAATATATAATAATATATATAATAATTATATTACTAATAATAATAATTATATTATAAAGATTTATTTTTCAGTCATTTTCTTATATCGAAGAAAGAATAGTTATGAAGTTTTATGTGAACCCTTTTACCAATTTTGAAAGTTTTTTCCTCTTAATTTAATTATATTATTTCGATGTATGTGTTGGGGTAGTAAGGGTGTCACAGAAAGCATTTGATAAGCAGACTATAGTCGAAGTCCCTATATTTGAGAATAATGTCTTGTAAAAACTTGTTACCATATTTTCTCTTATTATATGCGATTTTTTATGTGAATTTTGCATAAAAATTCACAGGAATTGTTGTTTCTACAAATTTTTCTATGAAATTTTATCTCTAGGTAATACTTTTGTGGATAATATGTTTTTGCGAATTTTAAAATTCGCAAGAAATTTTTCTACAAAAAAAAATCGCAGGAAAGTTTCCTACGAAAAAAATTCGTAGGAAAGTTTCTTGTGAAATTTCCTGCGAATTTTTTTTGCAATAAATTCTAAAGGAAAATTGCTTATGAAAAGAAATCAAAGAAATTACTATTCAGGGGTAATTTTTGTACAATTTCTATTAATAACTCTTCAACTTTCAAATACTTATAATGAATTCATCCGAAGCATTAAGAAATTTGCTTCCACGCCTCTAACATGTGATAAATAACCTTTTAAACTCTTAGATTGTAAATTATAGGTCTAACACTCAACCATACAAAATCAACTTGTAAGGTGAGTGTTGCCCCAATTTATATATTCTTTAATTGTTTTATTTCTAATCGATCTGAGACTTGAGAAAAATCTTTTAATTCTTAAACTTATAAATTTATGTATATATATTTTTTATTTTTCTTGCAGATTAAAATTGGCAGGAGAATTTGCAAGAAAAGTTACCTGCGAATTTTTTTTACTATTTAGTAAACATTACTTGTAAATTTATTTTTACAAGAAAATTCGCAAGAAACAAGATACAATTCTTACAACATCTTGAATGCAATGCGTTTACCCAAGGCGTGGATGATTAAAGCTTTCTTCCACGAAGAACATATCATTCCTCAAACTCCGCTTGAGTAATATTAATTGTTGGATAACGATCAAGGTCAGAGTCTCCATCCACTAAATGGTTCTCTTCCTCCTCAACCAGTTCATCATACTTTTCCATCTTCTTCAGTAAAATGTTATAATCAGATAGGATACGTCCACCATCCGTAGTCAACACGCTTTCAACATATGAGTGTTTCAGACTCCTACAATTAGGGGATTAGCCCCTTGTTCATCCATGGTGGAATCCAGCACCACTTCTCCGTCTTTTGTCTTAACCTTTTTTGTAGTATGTTGATCCACTTTTTCTTCCTCACCCTCAGAAACCCTAGCAAAGCTCATGTTCTTAAAAATAAGAACCGTTAAGAGTAAATTTTCTTATCCTTACTTCATTTGTGTTTTTTTAGAATATTGAATATTTAAGAGTTAAAATAATATAATTTTGTAGTTCAATATAATGAATTAATTTTCTTTCTAAAGAAATGATCTATTTAATATTTAAAGAGAATTTCAAGTCTCACATCGATTAGAAATAAAATAATTAAAGAGTATATAAGCTGGAGCAACACTCAACCATACCAAACACTCACCTTACAAGTTAATTTTGTATAATTGAGTGTTAAACCTATAATCTAATGTTGGAAGTGTGAAATTTTAAATTCACAATAATTTTTTTATAGTATTTTTTTGCAAGAAATTTTACGGTAAATTTTAAAATTCGCAAAAATATATTATCTACGAAATATTATTTAAAGATAAAATTTTGTAAAAAAAATTATAAAAACAGCATTTCCTACAAATTTTTATGTAAAATTAACACGAATTCTAATAATAAATATTAGAAAGAGTATAATTAAATAAAAAGTTACTTCAATTAATACTAAGCTAAAAATCTAACATGACTTATTTTGTTTTCAAAGATGATATTTTTTCATATGGAGGATCATTAATTTCCGAATTGCCCTTATTTTAGATTGATATAACCTTTATTGATTTCAAGCTTCAACCATAGGAATTGTCCTTATTTTTCTTTGTATATTTCTCCCAGTTATTGGTATCATTATTCAGCTAAGGCCACAAAATCTACTAATTAAGGGACGTCGCCACCTTACGTGCATGTGTTCGTTGTGGCAAAATGGAACAGATGAAACCAAACACCGCTAACTCTTCCCCTCTCACCCCACTCGGCTTCTTGGACAGAGCAGCCACCGTCTACGGCGACCCTCCTTCAATCATCTACAACCAAACCACCTTCACCTGGTCCCACACGCGCCGCCGCTGCCTCCAGCTCGCCTCCGCCCTCTCCTCCCTCGGAATCCGTCCCGGCCACGTCGTCTCCGTCGTCGCCCCCAACATCCCCGCCATGTACGAGCTCCACTTCGCCATCCCCTTCACCGGCGCCGTTCTCAACAACATCAACACCCGCCTAGACGCGCGCACCGTCTCCGTCATCCTCCGTCACGCGAACTCCACGGTCGTGTTCGTGGACTGCGCCTCACGCGATCTGGTCCTCCAAGCCCTATCCCTCTTCCCTGAAAACACTCAACGCCCAATCCTCATCCTCATCACCGACGACACAGTGGAGAAAACCTCACCCAGCGTTGATTTCATGGACACGTATGAGGGTCTCGTGAGCAAGGGCGATCCAAGCTTCGAGTGGGTTCAGCCCAACAGCGAGTGGGACCCCATGACTCTCAACTACACCTCAGGAACGACGTCGTCTCCCAAAGGTGTTGTTCACTCCCACAGAGGAGCCCTCATCATGACACTTAGTATCCTTATCGACTGGGCGGTGCCCAAGAACCCAATTTTTCTCTGGACGCTTCCACTGTTCCACGCTAACGGCTGGAGCTTCCCGTGGGGGATCGCAGCCGTGGGCGGCACCAATATATGTGTCCGCAAGTTCGACGCCGAGATTGTTTACTCTCTCATAAAACGCCATCACGTGACTCACATGTGCGGCGCTCCCGTCGTGCTTAACATGCTAACCAACTCCCCCGAAAACAAACCGTTGGAGAAGCCTGTGCAGATTCTCGCCGCCGGAGCGCCGCCGCCTTCGGCGGTGCTCCTCCGGACTGAGGCGCTGGGATTCATGGTGAGCCACGGCTACGGTTTGACGGAAACCGGGGGCCTGGTGGTGTCGTGCGCGTGGAAGGAGAAGTGGAACCGGTTGCCGGCGACGGAGAGGGCGAGACTGAAGGCGCGGCAGGGGGTGAGAATGGTGGGGATGGCGGAGGTGGACGTGGTGGGTCCCACAGGGGAGAGCGTGAAGCACGACGGGGTTAGCATAGGGGAGGTTGTGATGAAAGGAGGGTGTGTGATGTTAGGGTACTTTAAAGACCCCGAAGGAACCGCGAGTTGTTTGAAGAACGGTTGGTTCTACACCGGGGATGTTGGGGTCATGCATGAAGATGGGTACTTGGAAATTAAGGATAGGTCAAAGGATGTTATTATTAGTGGCGGTGAGAACGTGAGCAGTGTGGAGGTGGAGTCGGTGTTGTATAATCACCCGGCGGTGCATGAGGCGGCGGTGGTGGCGAGAGCGGATGAGTATTGGGGAGAGACGCCGTGTGCGTTTGTGAGCTTGAAAGCATGTGTGAAGGAGAAACCCACTGAGAAAGACATAATTGAATATTGTAGGGAGAACATGCCGCGTTACATGGTTCCGAAAACGGTGGTTTTCAAAGATGAGCTTCCGAAAACGTCGACGGGGAAGATCCAGAAGTTCATGCTGAGACAGATTTGCCGAGGACATGGGACGACTCCTCTCTTCTCATTCACTAAGACCCTACAGATTGGTGTCAACTGGTGGCATGTTAGATTCTGAGATTAATATTTTAATTTTGCAATTAAGTTTGGAAATTGGAATAATGAATTGTTAGGAACTTACTGCTGCTACTACTAATCTAAATTTAGGATTTATAGACATAAATCCTCCTGAGATTTCCCTTAAAAGCTCTAGTTTTTATATTTTAAAAAATCAATATCCATCCAATAATTTTAATAAAAGTGGATTTCTATTAACCTTGTGTAAAATCTTTTCATACTATACAAATACAAGTAGGTAGTGATTATAATTGAGTATACAAATACAAGTAGGTAGTGATTATAATTGAGAAATTCTATGGTACCCATCTTATTTGAGAGGGTTCTGGTACAGTTTTTTTATATTTTATATTTTTAATAATTTATTTAAATATTTATGATATTTTATTCTTTTAATTTTTAAATTATTTAGTCATTTTATTTTTATTTTATATATTCTAATTTATTTATAATATTATTATTATATATTTAAATAGTTTAATTTTAATAATTTTTTAAGCATATTTTAATCTTTTCACTTAAAATTTTTGAATTTCTATATTTTAATTTTAATAATTTTTTAAGTATATTTTTTGTCTTTTGGTCCTAAATTTCTGAATTTCTATATTTATAATTTTTTATTTCTACTATTTATTAATTTTTTCTTTTTTTAAATATTTTATAATATTATTGAAATCTTATAATTTTAATCTCTATAATTTTATCTTACTTTTCATTTTATAAATATAATTTAGATTATTCATTTTATAAGTAAATTAGTTTTTTTTTTAAAATTTTTATAAGTTTACATAAAGAATATATTGAAACTCCTCAATCTTTGAGGGTACCATAGCAACTCCCAAATAAATTTTGTAGTACAAATCACTAAAGCACGAACAGATACGATTGAAAACTAGTTTTTTTGAACTCCACACCTTTAAAAAATATATATAAATAAATATTTTTGAAAATATAAATTATAACAAATATAAATGATTTATATCATGACAGAAAATATTTTTAATTATTGATAACTCATTTTTAAAATATTAAAATTTAACTTAGAAATAATTATTATAAATATAAATTGAAATAAATTAGTAAAAAAAAATCTCCAAATCCCTTTATGTTGAAGAAAAACTCATAAAATACTATAGTTTAAAGAGAAATTTCTAAAAATGCTCTTATTAAAGATAATTATTTTCATTTATATGTATTTTAGTGAATAGTTAATGTTTGGGGTCAAATTACCAAATTGGAGTGCATTGCCAGGCAGTTCAGTTTTGCATTTTCTAACAAAATTTAAGAGTTGAGTAGTATTATACAAATAGTAAAAAAGAAAGAAACTTGCTCATATATTTTACCCATCAACAAGTGTTGCACAACATTAGAACACATCTGTGAAAGGTTATCATTAAACAGCAACATTTTTCTTGCCCACACATTCTTTTACACGCCATTAAATTTATTGATGAACCTAGAAAGAGTCGCATCACATTTTTCTGCATATATCCGTATACACATCGTAACAACCATGCACGGAAACGTAAATCTCTGAAAGGCAAAGTCCCTTTCAAGTTACAATATTTCATTTGGCAGTTCAACTAAAGTGCATTCACTTTAAAATAGGAGCAAGAACGCATCTGTGGGTAAGACAAATTTAATTTGGGTCCGAAGCAGCACAGACCTGACTGTTGTCATGTTATTTTGATAACAGAAGTCAAGATATAGAGCCAATCCACTGTTTTTTATATATTACCAAGGTAGCAACACAAATTTTGCAAGTGATGTAATATCCAAATGATAGAATAGTTAGTAAAGAACATGTTACATAAATAGAATCTGCACAAATAAAAACAACGGATATTGGAGGGAGTTGACTTCAACTGTGTACATGTAACCATTTACAATAATAATCAAGCTTAACATTCCATATGAAAGTTTTCCAAACCAACGCTAATCTTCCTTGGCCATCTCAGCCGTGTTCTCTGGTACACCCAAGGCAGGTGAAGTTATAAGCTTCTCAGTCATCTGGGCCGTGTTCTCTGGTACACCTAAGGCAGGTGAAGCTATAAGGTTCTCCACTGGAACTTTGGCCACGTCACGACGTACTCCAATATCAGATACCAATCGGCCAACACAGTAAAAACTGAAACCAACCAATGCCAAACCACTGAAACTGGTGGTCATAAAACGAAGCGGAGTTGAAACTATAGTACTAGCAGCAGCTAAGTAAGATGCTGCTTGACCACTGCGGCCAACAGCGAGGCTTGTGAGTACAAGAAGACCTGTTTTGCAGTAAAGTGCAAAGTCTTCACAGTTATTCTTGAAAGAATTGTAGCCACCAAACCCATTTTCAAGAAGAAATGAAGCACGGCGAAGGACATCTTCAGTTGGATCAGAAGGAGCAAGAGTGCAGGTGCCTCCTCGAGCTTTGGCCAGAAAAAATGCAGGCGAGACACCATACTCAAAGACATATAGATTACCACCAGAAAGGAAACAATCCAAACAGGAAGAGATGACACCATCACTTGTACTTTGGTCGCCACATCTCGGGCATGGAGTGTCAGAATAATGAGAGGGAGATGAACTGAAAAGGATACTGTCCAACACAGTTCCAGTTCCAATTTCTTGACCTGCTCCTCTGGTGAAGTGGATCACCATTCCATCACCGACATATATTCCTGGTATTTTGAATGAAAGCAATTGACAAAACCAAGATGAAAATTTCAATACCATACATAAAATAAACAGAAACTGCAGGTTCTAAGCTCAATTCAAGTCAAAGTCTCCAAATTTAAAATACAGAAAAAGACTAAACCATGCAACAGGATCATTGGCTCGTAATAAATCTGACCAAAATGCTTTCTAATCCTAAAATTCTTGTGAATGGTATCAGCTCTGTGTTCTCTTTATACACAAAGAGACTAAGGTTTTGTTTACTCACCAACCAAAAAGGAGTCACACATTGGCCCACACACACATAAGTGAGGACACAGAGCCTATGATTTTTCACCCCACCTATCATTCCTTTGACAAAAAATTAACTGGTCTAGAAAAGCATTCAGCCTCTGCATTTTACATCCTTAATCACATCCAATAGAAGAATATACCCCTTCATATCAATAGGTTATTCATGCACTTGTGTTTGTTTCCAAATTAATCAAATATCAACTTCAACATTGGTTTACATAAACAGCTAAACAAAGTTGAAGTTACATATTTCTGATGTATTTAAACAACGCAATAAAACTACAAGGATTGAAGATTCACCCACAACTGATCACTCAAATGAACAAGTCAATTCACCAAAATACATCCAAGAATTGTAAAATTGACTATTAAGAACTAATATTTATAACTCTTAGTTTTGAATGTAGATTATGCAATTAGAACATAAACATGAAACTTATCAGAGCTTATTTAGTTTAAATATCATTGGAAGAAATTTAAGCCATTCAATAATTAATTCCATAAGAGTTAACATTCCAAACCTTAAGAGTTGAGACATAACTGGTATAAAAGGATTTCTTTAAATAGATAATGACTAAGATACTTGAAAAAGTAGCAAATAAACACTAGACAAAAATCAGAGTTGGTGGATATTTGCATTAGCTTCTTCTTATGGTTAAAGCAGAAACTATCTTTCCAGCTCCGTAGGTGCTCACCAAACAATGATAAGTGCCATCAACGACATTCAATTCCATAAATACAAATCTACAAAACAATCCTTAGTCGTAGGAAAATATCAATCCCATTCATGAGCTTCGTAAACAGAATGATTCGAACTTTGAACCTCAACACTATAGGGCTTGAATCATAGGCTATCAAATCCTACTTATCAAGTTACAATCAAATGCAAAAGATTGTTAGCAATTTGAGCAATTGGTTTAGAATAAAGACCCAAACTACAAGTTTTAAGCTGTCTATCTAAGCCTAAATACTTACCATTTTATTGATCTCCTTTATCACATATAACAGACACCAGCCAAGGGTTACATCACACCAATAACCACCACCATAAGGCAAGAACCAACTCTCTCCCACCAGAATTCGGGCGAATTTACAGGTTCAAAGACAATCATTATTGATATCCCTAATCCCTTTATATCTCTCATGGTTTAATTTATGCTCAATTTTGTTTGATTCAGGAACATCGTTTAGTGAATAGTAAAGCAACTAAGCTTGATCCAATAATAACTACGTCGCTAGCCCTTCAGCATGCAGAATTTTAAATTTAGCAGCAAAATTGCAGCGAGACTATATTATATTGCCAACCCAACACACGACACACTTTCTGTATCTGCATTCCACATTCTAAACTGAATAAATCCCAACCCCTCATCCATTTGAGATTTTCCAATGCGACAAAACAATGATGAAAACAAAACAATTCTAACCAACACTAACCGAACTTCAAAGGAAAAAAAATTGAATTGGGCCTTAAAATTCATAACGGTACGAAGCTTAAACATGACGCAAACCTAATTCAAATCAACAACCAAAAGGGAAAATAAAATAAAATTAAAAAAACCCCAAAATCAATCGTGTTAAAGCAAACACAAGTGCAATCGACGAACACCCAGAAAGCAAAACCCGAAAAAGATGATAAATTTAAAAAGAAAATAAAAAATGAAGAGTGAAAAGAAGAGACCGTGGTGTGCATAGATGTATGCTTGCCTCCAAGAGTAAATGTGATCACCGGGCTTCAGTTGTTCCCGATCGATCATGTTGGAAAGCACTCCCATTTCCCGCTCTGAATCCAAACCCTACGAAAATCGTAAAAAGAGAATCTCAGATTGCGTATCCCCGTTCCTGGTTTGTATTGTGATGCCACTCTCTTACTACTTAAGTTTCCTGGTTTGTAAAGCGAAATTATACTTCTTTTTCTTATTATAAAAATTCCCTTTGATTTTTATTTTTAATTTTTATTGAGTTAATGCTATGTTAATAATGATATTTTTAGTATATAATGTTAAGTGTTTTTGACTGGATCGATTTGAATAAATAAAAAATTCAAAATCACTCTAAAAAAACAAATTTCGAAAAAAAATAACATTAGCAAGAATTTAAAATTTAAATTAAATAAATAATTTAATCGAATTTTTATTGTAAAATAAGGGTTTGGATTATAGATGAAATGATTTTGGTGTATGGGACCAAATTAGTGACTGAATAAATCGGTCGCTAAATCGGTCGCTAAATATTTATTTTTTATTTGATTAAATTTTATAGACATCGCAAATTTGGTCGCTATGAACCACTCATATTTGGCCTTTTAAGGATTTTATTTCACAATACTTAAGTTTTTAGCATGTTTTGTCCTTAATTACACAATTTTTAGAAACTTCCCAGAAGGTCACCCATCCCTATATTACTCCAAGTCAAACACGCTTAACTGTGAAGTTCTTATGAGATAAGCTATCGAAAAGTAAATGCATGTTGTTAGTATAAGTAGTACAAATTAATTCATTTAAGTCATCCTCAACTATCCAATCTCATACTTATATTATTTTTGGATCCTTATCATTTTGGTATATTAAGTTTTTAGCATGTTTTGTCCTTAATTACACAATTTTTGGAAACTTCCCAGAAGGTCACCCATCCCTACATTACTCCAAGTCAAGCACGCTTAACTGTGAAGTTCTTATGAGATAAGCTACCGAAAAGCAAATGCATGTTGTTAGTATAAGTATGACAAATTAATTCATTTAAGTCATCCTCAACTATCCAATCTCATACTTATATTATTTTTGGATCCTTATCATTTTGGTATATACGGACCGTTATAAATATATAATAATATATATAATAATTATATTACTAATAATAATAATTATATTATATTTAATTAATCTTTATTTATATATACTGCAGGTTCTAAGCTCAATTCAAGTCAAAGTCTCCAAATTTAAAATACAGAAAAAGACTAAACCATGCAACAGGATCATTGGCTCGTAATAAATCTGACCAAAATGCTTTCTAATCCTAAAATTCTTGTGAATGGTATCAGCTCTGTGTTCTCTTTATACACAAAGAGACTAAGGTTTTGTTTACTCACCAACCAAAAAGGAGTCACACATTGGCCCACACACACATAAGTGAGGACACAGAGCCTATGATTTTTCACCCCACCTATCATTCCTTTGACAAAAAATTAACTGGTCTAGAAAAGCATTCAGCCTCTGCATTTTACATCCTTAATCACATCCAATAGAAGAATATACCCCTTCATATCAATAGGTTATTCATGCACTTGTGTTTGTTTCCAAATTAATCAAATATCAACTTCAACATTGGTTTACATAAACAGCTAAACAAAGTTGAAGTTACATATTTCTGATGTATTTAAACAACGCAATAAAACTACAAGGATTGAAGATTCACCCACAACTGATCACTCAAATGAACAAGTCAATTCACCAAAATACATCCAAGAATTGTAAAATTGACTATTAAGAACTAATATTTATAACTCTTAGTTTTGAATGTAGATTATGCAATTAGAACATAAACATGAAACTTATCAGAGCTTATTTAGTTTAAATATCATTGGAAGAAATTTAAGCCATTCAATAATTAATTCCATAAGAGTTAACATTCCAAACCTTAAGAGTTGAGACATAACTGGTATAAAAGGATTTCTTTAAATAGATAATGACTAAGATACTTGAAAAAGTAGCAAATAAACACTAGACAAAAATCAGAGTTGGTGGATATTTGCATTAGCTTCTTCTTATGGTTAAAGCAGAAACTATCTTTCCAGCTCCGTAGGTGCTCACCAAACAATGATAAGTGCCATCAACGACATTCAATTCCATAAATACAAATCTACAAAACAATCCTTAGTCGTAGGAAAATATCAATCCCATTCATGAGCTTCGTAAACAGAATGATTCGAACTTTGAACCTCAACACTATAGGGCTTGAATCATAGGCTATCAAATCCTACTTATCAAGTTACAATCAAATGCAAAAGATTGTTAGCAATTTGAGCAATTGGTTTAGAATAAAGACCCAAACTACAAGTTTTAAGCTGTCTATCTAAGCCTAAATACTTACCATTTTATTGATCTCCTTTATCACATATAACAGACACCAGCCAAGGGTTACATCACACCAATAACCACCACCATAAGGCAAGAACCAACTCTCTCCCACCAGAATTCGGGCGAATTTACAGGTTCAAAGACAATCATTATTGATATCCCTAATCCCTTTATATCTCTCATGGTTTAATTTATGCTCAATTTTGTTTGATTCAGGAACATCGTTTAGTGAATAGTAAAGCAACTAAGCTTGATCCAATAATAACTACGTCGCTAGCCCTTCAGCATGCAGAATTTTAAATTTAGCAGCAAAATTGCAGCGAGACTATATTATATTGCCAACCCAACACACGACACACTTTCTGTATCTGCATTCCACATTCTAAACTGAATAAATCCCAACCCCTCATCCATTTGAGATTTTCCAATGCGACAAAACAATGATGAAAACAAAACAATTCTAACCAACACTAACCGAACTTCAAAGGAAAAAAAATTGAATTGGGCCTTAAAATTCATAACGGTACGAAGCTTAAACATGACGCAAACCTAATTCAAATCAACAACCAAAAGGGAAAATAAAATAAAATTAAAAAAACCCCAAAATCAATCGTGTTAAAGCAAACACAAGTGCAATCGACGAACACCCAGAAAGCAAAACCCGAAAAAGATGATAAATTTAAAAAGAAAATAAAAAATGAAGAGTGAAAAGAAGAGACCGTGGTGTGCATAGATGTATGCTTGCCTCCAAGAGTAAATGTGATCACCGGGCTTCAGTTGTTCCCGATCGATCATGTTGGAAAGCACTCCCATTTCCCGCTCTGAATCCAAACCCTACGAAAATCGTAAAAAGAGAATCTCAGATTGCGTATCCCCGTTCCTGGTTTGTATTGTGATGCCACTCTCTTACTACTTAAGTTTCCTGGTTTGTAAAGCGAAATTATACTTCTTTTTCTTATTATAAAAATTCCCTTTGATTTTTATTTTTAATTTTTATTGAGTTAATGCTATGTTAATAATGATATTTTTAGTATATAATGTTAAGTGTTTTTGACTGGATCGATTTGAATAAATAAAAAATTCAAAATCACTCTAAAAAAACAAATTTCGAAAAAAAATAACATTAGCAAGAATTTAAAATTTAAATTAAATAAATAATTTAATCGAATTTTTATTGTAAAATAAGGGTTTGGATTATAGAAGAAATTTTTACTTAAATAATATTTTTTTTAAAAAAAATTACAAAAATATCAACTGTGCAGGTTTATTTACCAATATAGAACTGTTTCCTGTTCATGCTCAGAATTCGGTTCTCGGGGAACCGAATTCTGAGCTTCAAAATCTTATTTTTTTTGTTTTTTCAACTCAGAATTCGGTTCCCGAGAACCGAATTCTGAGTTATTTTAAAAAAAAATTTTCGTGTTTCTGGCCCATTTTGGACAAATGTTGGAAGTGGAACGGCCCGTTCCGGAAGCAGAACGGGCCGTTCTGCTTAAAGACACAGAGTCCTTTTTTTTTTAATTAAAACGGGCCCAGAACGGCCCGTTCCAGAAAAAATTTTAAGCGCAAGATATTATCTTAAGTGGTTGTCTAAATATATTATTTTAATAAAATTGATTGAATAATTAAAATTTTATCCGATAATTATATTGTCGGAGAGAATATATTCCCTATAATTCAGGGATAATTGTACGTTTTAAATGCAAGATATCATCTTAAGTGGTTGTCTAAATATATTATTTTAATAAAATTGATTGAATAATTAAAATTTTATCCGATAATTATATTGTCGGAGAGAATATATTCCCTATAATTCAGGGATAATTGTACGTTTTAAATGCAAGATATCATCTTAAGTGGTTGTCTAAATATATTATTTATAACTGATATTAAATGTTTCTTAACTTCTAAACATTAATATTAAATATTATTTCATGAATCCTGATTAATTGATATTATTTCATCCCAAATTTAATTCTTTAAGGTTAATTCACTTGGATCAAGAAATATCCAATGAATGTGAGTGAGGACTAAAAATTTATTGCTTAATATCCCATTATTTTAACTTTATTATCTTTTTATAAAAAATTTAATCTTTTTTTTTACTGTTTGCCCAGAACGGGCCGTTCCAAAACCAGAACGGCCCGTTCCAAACCACGTTCTACTTCCTGAAAACGTCTTCCAGAACAGGCCGTTTCAGATTCAAAAAAATGTTAAAATTTTTACTCTAGAATGGGCCTTCTGGGCCTGTTTTAATTTTAAAAAAAGGACTCTGTGTCTTTAAGCAGAACGGCCCGTTCTGCTTCCGGAACGGGCCGTTCCACTTCCAACATTTGCCCAAAATGGGTCAGAAACACGAAGAAAAAAAATTTAAAATAACTCAGAATTCGGTTCCCGGGAACCGAATTCTGAGTTGAAAAAACAAAAAAAATAAGATTTTGAAACTCAGAATTCGGTTCTCGGGGAACCGAATTCTGAGCATGAACAGTAAACAGTTCTATATTGGTAAATAAACCTGCACAGTTGATACTTTTGTAATTTTTTTTTAAAAAAATATTATTTAAGTAAAAATTTCGATTATAGAATCGGACAATGCATTATAGAATCTCTTGTTTGGATTTTATTTCGTCTTTCCAATGTTCGGACTTAGTAATGTCAACTTCTGAATTGTTATTTTCCCCGTCTTAATATATTTTAACTATAGAACGAGATTTTGGCTATTGTTTTTCGCTGTTCACCAGATATATAATATTTTATTATTTTTTTGGTTTGTCATGTGGGCCAACAAGTCACAATTCTTTTTTTGGGTCACTCAGTCT